AACGTCGCGAAAAAGTTATTTGTTATTTGGATTATTACTTAATAGGCCTATTTTAAATAATCACACGCTACTGCAAGGAAGAAAACAACGCGTTTGAGCAGGCTGCTTCACGCCTCCAACAGCTCCATATGTTTACAAGGGGAAGTGTTAAGCCAATGTGCTTAGCTTGTGATAAACTTGTTATAGAATCATATGCCGGTGAAGCTAAACACATAGCTAAAAGTGTAACACTGCCAACGTGTCGAGCTTTTTCTTCTGTGAAACGCTTGAAAAGCTATACGTGTTTAGCATTTACTCAGATTTCTAAATGCGTATAGGTGCCTAACGTGTGTTGTATGTATTTAAATGCTAAACACTGTTTTTACAGTATGTATATACAGTATATATGCAATGTCTGTCTCAGAGCAGTACCAGTCTACCAATTTGTGCTGGTGCCTTATGCTCTTCGTTGCACTTCTTGCAAATATATTCATGTACTGATTAAGTTTTTGTTATGGCATTTTGAATATGTGGTTCTCTTCGTCCTCTGCCTTCCTCTTCCCATGCTACATAGTATGGAACTCTTAAAGCAGTTTGGCGGAGTGAGGAAAGTGCGTGCTCGTACATTCACAGAAGGTGGGGGCTCCAGTGCAATCAGAATTGATGTAGGTGCCATTTTGATGGAGCTGGCAGTGAAAGGCCTTGAAACGAAATTTCTTTTCTCTGCCTCTCGCCCCACTTGTTAAACTGAAATGAATCATAAAAAAGCAATTAAAGTGAGAAAAGAATTCAGTCATATTTTACATTACAATAGATGTCTTTGTTATGTCCTGAGATGTCTTTGTTATGTCCTATTTGTTAAACCTATATTTTAATTTTTTAGATTCTTTAAAAGCAAATTCTCTACAAAAATATCCTCCCAGCAGCATAACTGAAATTTTAAAAAATCAATACAAGCCAAGCAGTTAAAATGTAATTTTTTGTATACTGTATTACTATTTGACAATACTGAAAACAATATATTAAAAAAACTAGCAAATCATTTTATTTAAGTTACAGGCTCAACCATAAAAACAGCAAAGAAGAAATGCATACCACTGGTTTAACATTGCTGAAACATTGCCGAAGGAGTAGGCGTGTGATGTAGTGGCTGACTATAGTGTTCTCTCTTAGCTTTTTTTCTCTCTGCTATTTTGCTTGTTTCTTTTATCTTTTAACTATCCACTTTGCAGTGTAGGCCTACTGGTAGGCAAATTAAGTTACATGTATGAAGTCGTTAAAATCCAAAGCGAAAAATATTTGGGCATCACTTCTGAGACGATAGACATCATACTCGCTTCCTGCAAAGTTGCAGATTTTCAACAGCAGAAGAAAATAAAATAGATGAATTGGAGAATGTGAGATGGTGCTGAGAGCGACAGTATCAAAGATTTCAAATTTTGTCCATTTTTGTTTGTTTGTTTTTTGACAAAACAGATAAATTTAGTAATAAATTTTTCAGTGATTTTAAGTTGCTAGACTGATGTAAGCTAAGTTCCACTTGGACAAACAAACCTTCCGCCCTCTTTTAATAGTTTATATGGTCAATAGACATATATATTGAGAATCAGTGACCGTTGATAAAGAGGTGAATTGTGATTTCAGTGTGTACCACTAACACAAGGATGAGTGATAAATCAACGCTCTGTATATAGGAATTTGAGACTTAGTTTTGAGATACAATTTCACTCAGGGAAATTCCGTCTCACATATCTCATCGAAAACGACCTCACATTTCAAATGACATCCGTTTCATCGAATTTTTAAGGAGACAAGTATAGAGGATATCGACGAATACTTAGCGTCTATGTTAACCATAACTGAGCTAGTTTATGAAATATTGATGATGTCAGGAACATTTATGATGGTACTGACAGTTAACGACGAGAGATGTCAAAGGGTAGATGAAGCATCAATAGCACGGTACACTTATAAACGTTACGGACCTTAGGTTAATATCATTAACTTCCATACGCCGAGAACAGCCAAAACCAATCATTCCCAGCAAAGTCATTTTATATAATCACGATAAGCATAAAATTCTCTAAAATAAAACGGGTCTAATCTTCATTTCGGATATTCCCTTATCCTTGGTAGCCCTCCTCACAAATAACTGGGGAAGTTTGCATAGATGTTTTTCAGCGTTTGTTAATACACTCAATTAGCAATCAAATGAACTCATTTTGCCACTTTTCACTCGCGTTAGTGACTGTAGTATGCTTAGTTTACACGAACATGCGGAAACTTTCAGCAAAAATACTTCGTTGCAAATATTTTTCTGTTCCGATGTTTTAACCGAACTGAAATATACACGTTGCACAGAGTATTCATTGGATGAACACGTGATTTGAATTGAGGCTCCAAAAGGGATAGGATGATTTGTACAAAACGGCAAATATGGCCCACTTTCAGTGATATATGGTTAAAGCACTTGCAACTTGCAATTGGGCTTTTTAAAGTGATTCTTAACTTCATCTAGACACATTTTAAAGCAGTAGCGAATCCAGGACGCACAATTTCCTGTGCCCCCCCCCCCCCCCTCTTTCAGGGGTATCTTTGGGGACACCCTTTCTCGTAGTAGTAATTATCCATTCTAATAAAAATTGTTTGTACCATAAAAATCAAAGTTTAACTCAAACGCGATCACAAATCCAAAGCTAAAGATTGCAAACGGGAATTTCGCCAATAACAGGCCTACCCACCTAACAAACTAAACTAAAAGCACATCGAAGTCGAGCAGCGGATTCCCCCATGGCCTTGGTAATGCCCCTCACAAGGTGAGACAAAATACAAATATAAAAGTTGTTTTTATTCTAAGAATATTGAATTCACGGTAATCTTTTATCTTCTCAGTGTCGCCGATGTCTTCAAAGTAGATCAGGTATGAAATAAACGTATCTATGCATGAAATTTATTATACACTATATTCACTGAAACAAAGCTATATTTCAACCCAGTGAGTCTACATATAACAGTAAAATTGTTTTCGTTTATCACTTTCAAAATCCTGTGCTCCTTTTAAGTTGGCCTATTTAAAACCTATCCTGAAACTTTGAAAAAAATATATCCCTAACTTTTAGAGTTAAGCGGGTGACAAACAAAATAAAAAAAAAAAACAGAAGAAAAAAATGGAATAACGGAGGTGAATACCTAAACTCCATGGCGGGGCATGGACAAAATTCCGTTATTATGTCCAAGGGCGGGGGTAACGTAACTTAACTAAACTAAACTGAAAGCGCATCGAAGTCGAGCAGCGGATTTCCCTATGACCTTGGCAATACTCCTCACAAGGAGAGACAAAATACAAATGTAACAGTTGTTTTTATTCTAGAATTATTGCATTCACGGTAATCTTTTATATTCTCAGTGTCGGCGATGTCTTCAAAATAGATCAGGTATAAAATAAACGCATTTTTGGATGAAATATATGTTATATAATATTCACCGTCAACTGTCACTAAAACCTTTTTGTCTCGGTTGTTGGGGTAAAAGATAGTTCTCTTATATAAGATGCAGGGGCGGATTGAGGCCGTCTTCTGGGTCTTCAGGCAATTGAAGATTGGGGGGGGGGGGGGGACGCCGAACCAGTCCTTCACAAATCACAAATCCGCAGCTCGAGATCACAAATGGAAATTTCGCCTACTAACCCCGAAGACAAAACAGAGCAATTTTTCCAACCCATTGAGTCTATATTTAACAGTAAATTCTTTTCGTGTATTACTTATAAATGCCCGTGCTCCTTTTACGCTAGCCCATTTAATACCTATTCTGAAACATTCAAAATCCAAATTCATCCAAATTCCAAATTCATCCGTAACTTTTACAGTTAGGCTGGTGACAAAGAAAAGACCACAAAAAAGAAGAAAAGTGACAAACGGAGATGAATACCTAAATTTCCCTGGCGGGGGTAACAAAACAAAACTAAACTAAACTGAACTGAACTAAAGGCCCATCGAAGTCGAGCAGCGGATTCCCCCATTACCTTGACAATACTCCCCACAAGGTGAGTCAAAATGCAAATGTAACAGTTGTTTTTATTCTAGGAATATTGCATTCACGGTAATCTTTTATCTTCTCAGTGTCGCCGATATCTTCAAAATAGATCAGGTATAAAATAACTGTATTTATGCATGAAATGTATGTAACATAATATTCACTGTTACCTGTACTAAAACTTATTTTATCTCGGTTGTTGGGGTAAAAAATTAGTTTTCTTACATAAGATGGGTCAATTTTAAGGCGGATACCACCCCCTGCATTTCTCTTATACCTCCTCTTTTAATCCCATCCGCTTCTAGACACTGACTTGATGGTCTTGTGGTCAGTGTCCGTTTTCGGAACAGAAGTTCGACCCCTTACGAGTCTCACATGGATTTCATGACTCATGATGACACTTTTAAAAAAGATGTCATTAATGCCATCCAGTACTCAGTATTCATAGATTCCATGTAAAAATTCTCGCTGGACAGTAGCGAAGTAGCTTAAAGTAGAGAATAAGAATAACTAATGAAAATCTTATTTTGTACTGGTTAATTTTAAACAGTGTCACTCTCAATTATTTATGATATATCAAATTGTATTACTTCGCTGATACCAGAATTTCGACGACAAAGACCTAATACATTTGTATTCTCATTGCTATAAACATCTGTTAAAAATTAAAACGCAACGGAGTCACGTTTTCTGATGTCCTCCTTCTTTCCCAGTCGTCAATTGCCTGGTCATCAAAATAAATCTAAAATGGAAAATAACACTGGCGCATCGTGTCTACGATATGACCTTGATAATGCTCTACACAGTTTATTCGAAATTCAGTTGTCCGTATTATTCAGAGAATTTATGATTCCCAGCAATCAATAGTCTTATCAGTTTGACCTGCTTCTGTGAAAGAGGCAAGTCCCATTTTTCTGGAAATATAACAAAGGAATCGTGGAGTGGCACTGCTCTCCTGATCAGATAAGTTTGAGAAAGTCACGACTTTTACAGTATAAAGTTGGTGGACGGAAACCATTCCACATACTGTGGTTCTCTGCGACTGTAGGATCTGCCAATACGATTTACCGCTCTCTAGGCCATCTTGATTTGCTAAGGTAAGATCGTTTCTTTAACATTATTTAAAGAATCAATCCTGCATATATTCAACAGTACCGTAGGCCTATTGTTCCGCCTGATTTTAATGTATCTTAGAACGATTTTAAAAAGGCTATTAACTATTTGCCAAAAGAGATAAAAGATCAGGCAGCAAAGCTGACAAATACACGGACACGAAACAGAAAATCACATTGTTATATTATTTACAAACAAATAAATAACACAACATAGCATAACATAAGATAATATAACATAACATAAAATTGCATTACTTTCATAAACCATACGTGTTGATTTTCGGAAGGAACATGCCTCATTAAACTTCAAAGCCACTCAGCAAATTTGAAGAAAAATGAAAAAAATACGGTTTGGCACTTATGGGTTACACGTTAAAAATCAGTGACGTTTGTAAGTACAATCCGATCATGCTGATTTTCGCGAGCAACCCTTTTAACCAAACAAAGCCACTCAATGTAAGAAAAGCAAAAATATGGTTTGGCAGTTACGGGGACTGATGTTTCGGATGGCGACAGCAATAACACGGACAGACACAGTGATCAAACCACTCAAAGACCCACACAGTGTCTGCATATAAAGATGATATAATAGATGCCGTTTTAAAAATAGGAAACAGTTCAAAAGGTGAAGAATTTGTGTTTCTTATACCAGAAAGACTGGTGTCTTTCATTACAGATTGAAAAAATGTCTGCTTAGGCCTTATTCAGTGACATTGATCGTTTTTTTTTTATATGTTGTAATCTCCTTATTCTGATTTTTTAAAGATTTTCAATTAAATCAGCACCAATGGCCTAGTTGGATTTTTTTGGGGGGGAGGGTACATTTGAATTGCAGCAAAAATTATTTGGTGTGTAATTTTATCCTTCAAATCATATAAACTCGAAGAATACATGTTAAGTCAATACTTTTTCAGATATCGAAGATCATCATGAAGTTGGCATTTTGTCTTTTTGCTCTGATATTTTTCGTGGCCCTTATGCCACAGGATGGAGAAAGTTGGCGACTTCGAAGAGTCTGGAGAAGGTAAAACATATTTCAATATACGACAAAACAAAAAACTCAAAGCATTTATTTGAGTGCAAGACAAAAATAACTTCTTTTGTTGTTACAGCTAGCCATAAAATCTGAATTTATTAAGCATATCATTTACAAATTATAATAGATAAACAACTTTGGCTAAAACCTACCTTTTTTCATTTTTCGTCACAAATTGATAGATAATCAATTTGTTTCTTTATTCGATACATTTATTTGTTAATCAAACGATATCAACGGTTGCAATATACAGTGTATGCATGTTTCCAGGGCCGTTAGAGTAGTGAGGAGGGTGGTTAGAGTTGTCAAAACTTACAAGGCAATTAAAGCTGCGGTCGCAGTAGCCGGAGACGTAAGTACTCACAGATATTTATGATTGGTTTTGAATTGAGACAGGGTAAAGGGAGGGGGGTAGTGGGGAGAAGAGAATTTAATCTATTCAGACTTACTAGTATAGGGGCCTACCCCTTGCAGGCGTTTGTTGGATAAAACTGCTTTTCCAAACCGCTACCCTTAAAAAAACTCCATAATTCCGAAATGGAAAACGTTTCCTGCCATAAAAAATGACTGCTCTGGCGATTTTTGCTAAAGGCGGAGACATGGTTGCGACTGTCGGGTACACAAGAATTTTCTTTAAATTTATTTTTCTTGTCGAACAAATGAAAGTGGAAGATGCTGATATATTCACTCAGACTATAATATGCAGTTCACAGGGATGGAAAATTACTTGGTTTTGTCCCTTGTAATACATATACTGGAAAGAAGGAGGGATTGTACAAGTAGCTCCAAAGCTTGGGAACACGTAACAGCCCCACCCCACCCACCCCCTCCCGACGAGAAAAAAACATAATCGGCTGTGAAGCTCACCTAATGCATTGCATCAATCTCCTTTCGTTCGTCTCCGCTGGCACAATTTATAATTAATCGCTTTTGAAAATGCTATGGACAAAGTGTCACCTTGAGATATTAAAATTATTTCTCATTCATTTCTTTCAGTATTTCTCCATTGATATCAGTCTCCTTAGCGTTTTAATTTTCCTAATATGTACGTTTCAGGAAAACAACTCCAAGTTTATGTTAAATGATTTGGATGGCGACGGCAAGATATCACTGCACGACGTGAAGGATCCCGAAGCGATGGAGGAACTCGACGCTAACGGTAAAGTAGTTATCCAAGTTAAAAGAATTACGTCATTCCCTCCCCTCTTCCTGTCATCTTTGTTGATTTACTAATTTTTTATCGGTTTTCTTGTTTTCCTTTCAAATTTCTTACATATGTTGCCTCGTTTTTAAAAAAAATTACCTGCATGAACCTCTGTCCAAAAAGTGATCATTATCCTTATGAACACGAAAAAGACGTATGGAGTTCAAGTTAAGTTTGCAAGTTTTAGACAATCTCCCATAAAATTGTGCCTGGAATGTTTATTTCAATGTGACAATTGTTTACACATTATTTGAAAATTATTGTTAAATAACTTGAATAATTTTTTTTCTAGAGGATGGATACGTGGACCAGGAGGAGTTGGATAATTTCCAAACTAAGGTTAACCTCTTAGGGGGTAAGTTTTATGTCCTCATCGTTTATTTATTCACTTTGAGCTGAAAGTTGTTAATGAGGAATAAAAAAAAAGAAAACAAAATCACGGCAAATATACTAATAAAGGGTAGGCTAGGACAAATAAACTGTTATATGAAGGGTACGTTGTGGGCGGGGGGGGGGGGGTTCTCTCGTTCTGCCTCTCTCGCTCTCTCTTTACCTTTTTTTTTTGGGGGGGGGGGGAGGGGGGTAATAGTAGTACTTGTACCTTCAATGGTAGCAGGAGCACATTCCTCGGATGCCCCAGTACTTTCATTAATTCTCTGATGTGTTACAAAGCTAACCCTTTATCCGCCGCCTACTGGTAACTTACGCTAATAAAAGGGGACCATCCGAGACAATCCGACGTCTCTTGAATTAGCAAAAAAAAATTTAACATACATTTGCATCTTTTCCACTTAAATTTCATTGGAGTAATGTTCGTGTGTTTCGATGTGTAAAATTAGAAAAATATCTTTTACTCACATAAGTTTTATACTCCCAGGTCAACCAAACATCTCCTAATTTCAGAACGGCTCAATCACGATATCTTTGCGGACACCGAGGACGCTGAAAGTAACCAACTGGACAATGAGTTGGATGGGATGTCCGAGGAGGAGCTCGCTGAGCTTCAAGACCTGCTCAACAATAAAGCTTGAAAGGTAACTTATGTCAAGTCATACTGCATTTTTATGGTCAAAAATCAGAAAAGCGAATTGTAACGCAATTTATTCCTAGCATTTAATTGGTATAGCCTACATACTTGTAGCTGCTTTATATTCATGTACATGTCGCTGACGTGTAGCAGTTGCTGTAACATGTTGATGTAAACTTAATCAGTTCTAACTCCTGGACTTAATAGAGAATGTAGACCCTAATAATGCACATAACTTTACGAGTCGAAATCTTAAAACCAATTAGGTTGAAGTTAGGCCTACCTCCTAGCATAAAGGCCTGCAAGTAGGGCCTACTTCGATACATCCTACTTTAATTACACAATTATTGTATTTTCAGGACCGAACACAGCATGTCAATCCATTTGCAACCAGCCAAGTAAAAAGCATTCCTTCTGATAGGGCCTATCGAATTACTCATTCTTCAAAGACAATTCTTCTCTTCTACCAGAGGACCGCGTACTGCAGTAGGGTCTATACTGAATTCATACTGGCCGGCACATCAGAATTTATGAAATTATCCCTGGGTATCAGTAATTTTGAAACATTTTGAAAAGGACATTCTGTCAGACATTTGCACCACTGTCATTTGGTTTGAATAAAATCATGCTTGTAGTGAATATTTCGTTCTTTATTTTATTTTTGTTTTTCAAATAATCCACTTTGTGCTATAGGCTAGTATAGGCCTACATGTAGGCCTACTGTACACTAGTAGGCCTCAGCCGTTAGGCTTATAGCATGTCAGTTATGAAGTCGCGAAAGTGAAATATTTGGGCATCACGGACTGTTCATTTACAAAATAATAATAATAATAATAATAATAATAATAATAAAAATAATTTTTTTTAAAATGAATGAATGAATGAATGTATGAATGAACGAAAGGGTTACATTGAAAAAGGGAAAAAAGAAAATGTTTAGAGCGAGGAAATAAAAAAAAAGGTAAGAAAAGATAAATAAATTGACAGACATCGAGATACACACACGTACAATAACGACAAAAAGCACACTGTATCTAGACTAGCAGATGAAAAAAATTCTAGGCCTTCCTCGTTGGGGAAAAATCACGATGGTCTGTGGACTCAGTCTCTACGGTACTAGAGAGGATTTCGGAAGATTTTATTTCTTACTTAAAAGTTTTTTGTCTTTTTACTGGGATTTTATCTTGCTGACAGTCCTCATTCTGAAAAATAAAGACTGAATAATCCTGACAATGACAACAAATTTTGCCTTCCAGCACTTGAAATGGGCTTTTCTTGTTCATATCATGACTATAACTATCCACCGATACGAACTTCCAGTGATGAGTAAAATGGAAATCCACGATTATTTTTGTTAGTCACCAAAGCGCTCCGGCTGTTTATATTACACTACTGGACTCGAAAACGTCACAGAAGCGTTCAATTTAGTTCACACAAGGTAAATAGTGGTATATATAAAACTTCATGGCATTAATTGCCAGATAACTTTAATCTAGTTCGATTTCGGAAAACATTTATCAGTGACAGTGTGTACTAGTCATTTTAAACTTTTAAACAATTAATAATCTGTAGCAATATTTCGGGATACTAGTTCAGGTAAGGAATATGTGAGGTTACTATTAAAATGTAATTCCATTTTCATTAGTTATAGTACATCTGAATATGAAAGGGGCATGTCAAGACTTGCCTAATACAGCTGTATTAACGTAATCTACGTGTAAACAAAAGCGTTCCGTTGACCTGTTTCTTTGTTCTTTAACGGGTTGTCGATGAATCATTGTTTTGACTGTGGTTACACAACGTAACACCAATATGATGCGTACTTTCATACTTACTGATTAATTTGAGTTAAAAATTACAACAACCCCAGCGATCAGTTGAATATAATTGAAGTATGTAATTGATGATAATTCTTTTAAAATCCAGGTCACATACACTGCTTTGAATGATTAGATATCTTATCAGTTACCCACTTTTCAGTATAATAGTGCACAATGAGTGTTATATCTTTGTGTAACAAAATTTTAATTCTTCCTGAAAACGAAAACACTTCCCCTGAGGCTAAACACCATGCGTTATCACAGAAAGTGACTGTGGATGCAGTATATCCTTTGAAATGAAAGATATCATTGAGTTTGTGCTGGAATTACGTGTTGAAAGAAGAAAACAAACACAGCCCTTGGTCAGTGATGGGTATTCCCATTCTTCCATTAGTTTGAGTCGGGGATGAGGTTTTTCCAACTATTGGGGTTTTTTTTATTGTTTCGGAGCTAAAAATATCATTGGTTTAGATGGCCCCCTTTCTGACTTTTTTCACCATATGGGAAGTCTAATGCCTGTTGAGTGGAATCACAATGGTCTGGAAATCCCGAGGTTATTTCTTATTATAAATGATTCATATATTTTGTAGGTATTTTTATGTATATGACTCATCAGGTTTTAAAATCTGTATGTGGTACTTATTTGAGGTGGGAGTAAACATTCTATTTTAAACACGATCAGAAGACATTGTTGTGAAGTCAAAAAAAATTAATTCTAGTTATAAATTCAGTAACTTTGTTCACTGAAAAATAAAACTGGATGACAGATACGTGGGCAGTTTATTAGTAATCTTTTGTATAAAAGCTGGCGTTTTATCTGCAGGTATTCAGACAGACTTTATTTACCTGTACCTACACATCATAAAGATAAGATCACAGGACAAAAAGCAATACCATGGATGACACAGAGGATGGTATGTACCTCTTTACAAATATTTTCTTTTTATTTGACATACAGTAGTTGTGAAAATATTTAATAAGAATGGGATTTAGTGAAAGATCTGAAAGAGAAAGTGAAGGTCACTACTTGCAGCGCACCCATGGGTGTGTGTGAGTGTCAGTCTCTCTCTCTTTCTCTCTCTTCATGATCAGGTTTTATTGTTTTAATCATTTTCATATAATAATATCTCTCTTTCTCTCTTTTTCTCTCTCTCTCTCTCTCTCTCTCAGTCTGTTCTTCCATGTGTGTACTTTCCTTTGTGTTTCACTTGTAAATGTATAACTGGTCATTGAAGTTTATAAGTATTGCAATCAAAGGGCCTGCTCCAAAAAAAAAAATAATAATAATAATAATAAAGCCGTGTCATTTGGGTGTTAACTTCAGTCACTAGAAGACAGAGTCAGACTGATGATATTTTCTTTCAACCATTTCAGGACATGGGGACATCACTGATGCACCACTCAGTAGAAGAGGGTATTTATTGATCACTCAACAATAATATAGACATTTTTATGTAGTTTACATATGATACAACATAGTTATTTTAAAGATACATGATGTGCACAATACAGATTCTGGGAAGTTATTATAAAGATGCAATGTAGGTACTTTAAAAGATACAATATAATACAAGTGATATAGATACAATATTCACCCAGATCATTCCTAAATTTATACTTTGTAGACACTATAAAGGTACAATATATACAGTTATAATGGATTTTTGATCAAGTATATCAAATTACAAGATATAAGTAATTCTGCCTAATATTCCATCTATAGAAAACATACAGTTCTATAGAGATTTTCCAATGTTTCCAGTCTCAGAGTTGCTCCAGAGGCAGGCAGGCCACAGCAAGTTAGTTCCAGTGGAGACCACGATATGGAGTATCCCATGACTTATGAAAATAGGGGCCTTGCCATCATTTTCAACAACCGCAACTTTGCGACACATACAGGTATGGCAGAGAGACGCGGCACGGACCAGGATGCAAATGGGATTGAGAACAGACTTCGCGCACTGGGATTTGACGTGTATCGCTTTGACAATGTGACTTGTTCCAGGATGTCAATGACTATGGCCGATGGTACGGAGTAATAAAATCTTGTTTTTGTGCAATTTACACTATAGCTGTTGAATTAAGCCTTTAACTTTCTACACAAAGTCATATGTTTTTCATACTTCATAGCAGCCAGTTCCTTGCATCTTTTTCTAGTTAGTGATTAATAATAGAGAGTTTCCGGTGCAGTTGGGATACGACGGCTAGATTGTTACGTATGTGCTAATGTATCCAGTAACGCGCTTCTCTCTTCGCGTTCCGGTAATGTCCCGGAATGCTGGCGCTCATTCCAATATAATAATAACAATATACGGCCCCGTAGCCATCTATTTCAAAGGGGGGATTCTTTTTTATGAAAAAGGAGACAAATATTACCCAAAAGTGCAATTTTTCCCGACAAAAATGGCGGTTCGTAAGAACCCCACGATCAACCCCCGACTACGTGCCTGATAAACCAAAACTAGCGGCTCCTCTCTGTTAAAAAGTCGAAATTTGCATGAACGTACACTTGAACTATTGTAAAAAAGTATATAAGTCATATAAATTAGCAAACAAAACCTTTAATAACTATTTTCAATAATCTTCCGCACTGGCTAGATAGGAGCGCTTGTATTCCGCAGACTAGATGGGATGACGGTATATGAATGCGGTGAACGTCACAAGTGCGCACAAACCGATGACGTATTAATCTAGCCGCCGTATCTCACCGGCAACGGAAACTCTCTAATTAGCAATTAAGGTGTCTCTCAGTATTTAATTTTTATGTTACCTTCGTGAGTCTCTTATATATGGTCACATCAACAGGGTATCTGCAGGAAATCATTATCAAGTAAAAGAAAGGTGCACTTAGTACACTGTACAATAATATATGAAAGATTAACCTTTATTTCAGTTTCCCTTTAACCTTGGGTGTATATATACTTTTAAATAATTCCTCAACACCAACTTTAGTGTCTTGCCTCATGCTTGCAGGAAGTTTTTGCCATATATATGCTTTCAGAATTGCTTACTGTATCTCTGGAATGTGAGGTTGTTTGCAGTTTATTTTCCTTTGGAAAAATATGAAAAGAGTGTTTTGAAAAGAGTAAAATATGAAAAATATAGAATATTTGAAAATGGTATATTATTATTATTTCAGTTGGACGCAGAAATCACTCCCAAAATGACTGTGTGGCTTTGGTAATTTTGTCACATGGTGAGGAGGGAAAAGTGTATGGCACAGATGGCATTATAGAGGTGGACCAGCTACTTGCCCCTCTCAAGGGTGACAGATGCTTGACTTTAGCAGGGAAACCAAAGCTCATTTTCATTCAGGTTAGTTGAGTCGGTGTTGCTTGTTGTTTTTTGAGAAAGTATGGGTTATATTTATGGAGCATTTGAAAACACAAGAAAACTTCTTGTAAATTGAGTATGTTGAGGGAGGATGTGGCACATACACAAATATTAGAATGTTTGTAAATTAGAGGCAAATGGACCAAGTTGTTTGGAGATAAAAATAGATGTTCACAACTGTATTATATATTTTTCTGATAATTTGAATTTCTTGGACATTTTGTAAACTACATACTTTCTTGTATTGGTAAAAAAATCATATTCTTTATTTTGATTTACTTTGCACTTTGGATTGTGCCTTTAAATTTAATTCCACTATTTTTTTTTTATTTTTATTTTTTTTTTGATAGAGAGAAATATTGTTCCAAATCTAGAAGAATTACTTTATTTGCATAACTCATCCACTTATTGTTTAAATTTCCATGAATCTCAATCAAATATCATGTGATCAATTTGTTTTTCTGTAGTATTATTATAAATTAATGTAATAGGGTATTCACATGTATTGATATGTAATAGTACATTGTACCTTAGTACTGGTATAAGTAACTATAGTATGTGAATAGATGTCAGTAATGAATATATATAGCTGGTGTTAGTGACCTTTTTTGTGTCACAGGGGTCATGTGACCCAACTACCAAAAAAATTTAGTGCGTAATTCGGGAGAGATACACCAGTGGTTGAATGTGAAGAAAGTACTGTTTTCTATGTAAGATCAGTCGGAATACAGACTTAAAAGGACAATACATTTGTTGTCGTGCCAGGGATGCATTAATATGAATCTCGCCTAACTTGAATCTTTACTTAAAGGGATAATAACTCTTCATTTTGGCCAAAAAATGAATTTTCCATGAGTAAACAACAATTTTCCCATACTAACCAATGGTTAATGAATCCATTTCTACATTCAAAGTTAGTCCCTGGTTTTTTTCTAAAATGTTTGGTTTTTTGTGAAAATCTCTTAAGAGATTATAACAGAGTACAGCCATCAGTGGAAGTCACGTGGTCTAAAGACAAGCTCAGATATCAGAATAATAGCTATAACTGCCGTTTTTGTGGTACAACAGAATATATTTAATTTTTATGAGTTGTTTACAATGTTTTTATTGTGAAATATAGATCTCATATGAAGAGTTATTATCCCTTTAACTTGAACAAATTTCCTTATGTCAAAATGTCCCAAGTTATGCAGTTGCCTTGGACTAGCAGGATTCCTCTTTCGTTTACACACTCCGTTTTATTTTGCAGGCTTGTCGAGGCACTAAACTGGACGGAGGTGTAGAGGTCGCTGATGCAGAAATGTGGGAAGACGAACCAGACGGTAGGACCCATGTGCACAGAATTCCTGCCGAGGCAGACTTCCTCATTGCTTACTCTGTGGTGCCAGGTAGGTATGGTTGATAAATGCCTGAGATTAAAAAATCTATTAAAAAAAAATAAATGTTTATATACATTTGTGTACAAAAAAACTTTCCTGTACAACATTATGTGTCCCACTGTTAAAAGAGAAAAAGGAGAGAAATGGTGAAGCAATAATTGTACAAAGATTTGTGACTGACAATTATAAACAAAATCTACAGAATCTGATATGATATACTGGTTATGTTTATTATATATTAAACTAGAGAACACTCCACTAAGCAAAAAGACAACTTTTCAAGTAGAATTTATGTTAAAATATCCTGGAAGGTGACCCGATTTTAGTTTAAAATGTTTTCAATTTTTTTTTTTTGTTTTTGTTTATCCTGACACATGTACACTGACAAATAAGCATACACACACCAACACCAATGAAAAGGTAACCTTCTTCTTGGCAAATGTTATAGACATAATTGAATGTTTTTCCAGGCTTCTTTTCCTGGCGTAACTCCATGAACGGATCTTGGTTCATGCAGGCACTCATTCAGGTCCTGGGAGACTACGGCCAACAGTTGGACATCCTAAGCTTGATGACCATTGTTAACAGGAAAGTGGCATACGAGTTTGAGTCCAATGCAGCCTCCAAGGCAATGAGCAAAAAGAAACAGGTTCCATGTATAACCTCCATGTTGACCAAGCTGGTATATTTTAGGCCAAAACACTAAGAGCACCCAGGCCCTTGGTAAATGCCCAGGATGGGATATTAACAGGACAGTATTTCAACATCTTTTAATCATTTTCAGGGTGCACAATTGGCTTGGAAAATTGGAAAGTTATTTTGGGTTGGAAGAAAAATCAGGATTTCAACATTATTATTATTATTAAACCTTCAAAAAATTTCAGTTGGTGAAAGATACAGGTGATGACTCTTCTTTAAAAAATGTCATGACAGTATGATAAACTTTTAAAGAATAACCTTATAAAATGATCTCATATGCTCTCGGAGAGTATTCAATATTAAACAATCAGTGATAAGGCAGGGTGGTCCCATCACAACCTTATATGCAAGTACAGTGGATAAGATTTAGAAGCTCATTTATGGTCTTAATATTATCAGTAATCATTTCCACATTGTTCATGTGTTGTGATAATCAATGCAATGGAAGATTTTTGTCAGATTCAAAGAGGCAAGACTGTTTCAGTCACATTCATATGAGAAAGGAAAGTAATAGATCTGCTTAAGTTTTTGCCATTCAGTAGAAAGATTTACCCCACAGTGTATTGATTCTTTTATTTTGTTTCTCTTTGTGCAATTATTTTTGGTGATATAATACTGTACTTTGTCACAATGAATTTACTTTTTCCTAGCAATAGCAGACCCAGGGGTGGGTCCACAGTGAGCATGCACCCCCTTCTCATCCATGAAAACAAAAAAAAAAAAAAACAATATTTAAATGTTAAAATAGTTTCATTTTACCATCAAAAACAGTATTACAAGTGAAAAGAAGCATGGTCAAGCACTCTTTATCCCTGTGCTCTGCATATTTTAGTTAAATTGTCCTCTTCAACTTCTGTATACTTGCCAAGCACAGCATCCCCCCCCCTACCCCCCACCCACAACTCCCACCCCTGTAGCAAAATCTTGGATGTGGCTTGTAAGGTTATTCCATATGTACCACTTTGGTTAAGGTGCTCAAGGTGAAGGGGTGATCCAACATTTTATACATCTCAAATCTACTCTTGTCAGTAACTTGTTTATAGTTTATTTTTACAGTAACCAGGCTAAAAAAAAACATTCCTTTATTTCTTTGGTGTCACAATTAAAAATCAACAGATCCACAAGTTTTACAGGGACTTTAAGGTACAGAATGTATTTTAAAAAGAAATTGTTTCATATACCAGTAGATTTGTGTTTCAGCTTAGGTGTGTCTACTTATTGTTATTGTTTCATAATGTTATTGTGTAGAGTAACTGGCAAAATGTACAATATTGAATTTCATAATACCAGTACATTATAAAGTTAACAACCTCTTTTTCAAACCAGGAGACACATCAAAATTAGCAGTGTACCATTTTTTTATGTTTTATGGATGAGTGAGACCAGGGATAGTATAATGACTTAAGAGATCCTTTGCTTTGTGTTACACCTTTTAACGAAAAGCTATTCCACAATCCTTAAGAGTCAGTGCATTATATAATTAGTCACTGTAATTATAATTTCTATACTGTGTAGACTTCTGCCAGAGTGCATATGATTTGACTGTAGTCTTTTGATGAGTCCACACTATTTTATGTACAGTATTTGTCTTCAAGTTTGTTTAAAAATGGGTCACTATAAAAATTTTTGTGATACCATCCAGAAACTACTGGGGTAGTACGTGTGTATCATACAGGGCAAAGCTTCGACTTCATGTCATCTTTGTGATGTGATTTCATTTGATTACAAAAGTGTTATATTAAATGCAATGCCTTTATAAGGATAAACACACCAAGGGAAAAACATTTTAATTTGTTTTACAGTTGATTTAGATGTGAGACATTTTTAATAGTGATTGTCTTAGCCTCGGGTCCAATGCTTGCTGGCAAAATATTCATTTTTTAATCTCCGTGTATAAGTGCTTTATTACTGACAAGCAGGTGTGGATGGAGAGTTTGAAGATGATGAAGCTGCCCCAGGTTTGCTTGGAAAACTTGGGGCTACTGTAGTAGGTTACTGCAACAAGTGTTCCATTTGGCGGAATAAATAGTTCAATGTATGTGTAGTTCTACAATAGGTTATAAGTGTTAGTGAAAAATGATTACTACCTGTGTCTTCATGAATGATATGTACGTGCAAAGGTTACTGTAAATCTTCATGTATGTAACATCATGATTCAAGCATAGATTAGCCTTTTAAAAAATGTGATTCCACACGTGAAAATGTATCAAATAAATCAGAATCAAATGAATCAGATGCTCTTGTTTTTTTGTTTGTTTTTTTTTAATCTGAGGTAATCTATACAAGATAGTCCCACCAAAACAAATTTTCCTTGGGGATAATTTTTTTTTCTACTTGGGAATCATTGCTCTACCTACTTCTGCACTTGGATTCAATGTTTTATTAAATTTTGATTTTTAAGGATATTGTTACAAAGCCTATATTATCATCCAGATACCAAAAAATGTGGCTTTTCCTGAATCTAATTATTAAATAATGCATCTATCTGTGTGCTGATTTTAAACACTAAACAAATACCCTTGAAAATATAAAATAGCATTACAGAACAACGTTAAGTAGTTCAATTTCATTGGTAGAACTACCAGGTAAACAAAAAGGATTTAACTTTCCTTGAGATCTTACTTATTTTGTTCTTCCAAAGATCTTCTTTATCTTTATGCCTTTCACTTGTGCATTTGTTTCAAGCATTTTAGTACAGGGGGAAACCTGGGAATCATGTAAGAACATATATCTGCTTTGGATCAAGGAATTTCAGTTGGGATTTCCTTACAATTGATAGTCAATTCATACTCTACAAAATTTTACATATATGTTCATTTGTATGAGAGCATTCAACCATGTAGTCATATTTGCTTTGAAATTCATATTATTATATGTAGCTGTACTTTCATTTTCTCAATTAAATGTTATTTAATTTATTATCTCATTATGTTAACTAGTATATTTGGTTATAATTAACATATTTTAAATACAATTTTCCTGAGGTTAAAACACGTTCCTGAGGTATGACAATATCGAGTCATTTCCAATTCAAATGAATTAAACTTTCTTTTCTAATGAGAAAGTGCAAGTTTGTGACAATACATATAGTAGAGTCATATCAAATTCAAAAGAAATCAATTCAACTTTCTTTTCTGATAAGAAAGTGAAAGTGGATGACACATTATTTTTCTTTTCAACAATATTCCTTTGATATTATGCTCAGGACTGACTAGGGTCAGAAGTGGTGAAAAAAGAAAAGTGATTGAGCCATTCTTCAAAGTTATGAGGTGTTTCCTATTCTCCATCAGTCACTGTTATTTCCAAGTGTATATTTTAAACCTGAAGTGATTCACAACTATTATGTTAAGTATGTATAAAAGCTGGAGTTCTACCTGCAGCTCTTCAGACTTTGTACACCTCAAACGGAATAGAAGATCTGCAAGATGGAGGACACAAAAGATGAAATGAGTATGTGGCATTTTATAAATATAAAGAAATTGTCATTGCTGATTATGTTGCATGGTTATAAAAAATGAGATGCATGTAATTCTTTTTTATTAAGTGATCTTAAAGTTAAATGAAATGTGAAAAGTAATTTTTTTAAAGTCGTTTTTATTTAAACTATGCACATGTCTGTTTGGCTGTATTGGTAAGTTACGCCCGTATCTGTCTCGATCTGTATCTGTGTGTGCAGCACAGTCAGACTGTGTGTGTGTGTGTGTGTGAGAGAGAGAGAGAGAGAGAGAGAGTTTCATTAAAGTAAATGAGGTGAAATTTAGGTATGGATTGCAATCAAAGGGTTGGATTCCTGCATGTAATCTTTAAAGTTAACCAGGACCACAGATCAATTATGTGCACATGAATAAGCCAGAGACATATTTGTTAATATCTAGTGAAAAATCAATCTGTGGTCCTGGTAGAGGGTAGGGTAATCTGGGATTTAAACCATTAAATTAATTTCAATTAGATTAAGGTGAAATTGATGTATTTTTATTTATTTATTTATTTATTTATTTATTTTTTAGTTCTAGGAGACCATGACATGAAGTACAAGATGACTCATAAAAAAAGAGGTTATGCCATCGTCATCAACAATCAAGTCTTTCAACCACCAACTGACAAGGAGGAGAGACGAGGTACAAAGCAGGATGCAGAAGGGATTAAGAACAGATTTGAGGCACTGGGTTTTGTTGTAGAGCCTTATGAGAACTTAACATGTTCGCAGATGTTAAGAACCATACGTGAAGGTGAGAAGTAATGATAAAAATGCGTTTTTATTCAATCTAAAGCATTTCGCTGTTGAATTAAGTACGTCTGCCTTTTATTTTAATTCTTATAGAAGATTATATGTTTTCATGAATTCATACTGTAGCAGTCAGCAGTTCCTTTTATTTATAATTATTATTTATATAAGAAATAGTAAGGAATATTTGTCTGGTTACATATTGCATCTAAACATTTAGCCTGTCGACTCAGTAATTATATCTGCTTACTTTCACATGCATCCAAGCCTCATGTCAGCATGAATTTTTTTGCCATTTGCTTTCAAGATTGCTTAAATTCTACCAGTATTTCTATCATGGAAAGTTAAACTTGTTTTCTAATCTATTTTCTTTAATTTAGCTGTGGAAAATGAACTATTATTATTATTATTATTATTATTATTATTTCAGTTGGTCGCCGTAATCACTCCAAAAATGATTGTCTGGCTTTGGTTGTTATGTCACATGGGGACAAGGGCATTGTTTATGGAACTGATGGTATAGTGGAGGTGGATATATTACTAGCCCCTCTGAAGGGAGACAAGTGTCCAACATTAGCAGGGAAACCAAAGCTCATTTTCATTCAGGTGAGCTGACTCAGCATTTCTTGTTGCTTTGGTTAAGATACATTGAGTGATTAAATATAGCAGGGGGAAATGTCACGCGTACACAAAAAGTAGAAAAATAGAGGCCTAGTTTTTTTAGTTCAGCCTGGCAATTTTCTTTTTTTTTCTTTTTTTTTTTTTTAAGCACAGTGTGCATAAAAAAAGTGCCCCTCTAAATGTAAGAGAATTACATAATTTGCATAACTCATTCTTTTTATATTACTCAAATTTTC